ACCGTGGGACCTGCGCAGGGTTCCAGACCCAGCATATTCAACCAGGTGGCAAGGGCGAAGTGGGACGCGTGGTCTCAGCTGGGCAGCATGAGTGCTGTTGAAGCGAAACGTGGTTACTGCTCACTGGCGGACGAGTTCGTACCTGGTTGGCGAGAAGCATTTGCAACTGATGATGCAGCCCAGAGCGAAGGGACTGTCGCGCAGCAACCGACGGACAGAGCTGTCCTCCGAAATGACGATGAGGACAGTCTCTTCCAAGCTGCACAGGAAGCAGTGAAATCGCTGCCATCGCTTGACGACGCAAGCAAACTGAAGCTCTATGCACATTACAAGCAAGCCACCGTGGGACCTGCGCAGGGTTCCAGGCCCAGCATATTCAACCAGGTGGCAAGGGCGAAGTGGGACGCTTGGTCTCAGCTGGGCAGCATGAGTGTTGTGGAAGCGAAACGCGGCTACTGCTCACTGGCGGACGAGTACAGACCCAACTGGAGAATGCAAGCTGCAACCGTGCCAAGCCCTGCTTCAGCTGCGGATGCTTTGTCTGCTGTTGCGACGGAACCGTTGCTCCAAGCTTCTGACGACAGGCAGGGAAGTGGGGAATCAATGCAAGCCTGGCATTAAGCTTTCAAAGGTCAACTTGGTTGTACAGTTTGAGCAGAATTGCAAGATCTTTCATTGCTTGCTGCGGAACTTCTGCTGACGATAGATGGCCTGCAGGGTTTTGCGAGTTGGCAGGGCAAGCGGCTGTTGAGGCTCTGGTCAGAAGTGCAGCTTTCGGTTGTTGAAGAGTCATATCCAAGAACATTGTTGGGGTCCCTTTTTGCCGAGGGCAAACGACTGCTCTTGTGAGGCCTTGGCTGGCAGCGCTCCAAGACAGGCCGGTCTGAGAGGGGAGGATTTTTGGGGCTTGGGGAGGGTTTATAGGGATCATGGGGTTTGTAGGTTGTTGAGGTTATAGGGCTTATAGGGTTTATAGGGCCATTTTAGGGTGTAGGGGCACAAGCAAAGCGTATGCCACTGTACTTGGACAGAAAGTCGTCAAGATCGCGAAGGATTTTGTAGCCAACGCAGAATTGCCGGGATGCGAAAGCAAAAGGTTTGGAAGAATCGAAGCACACGCTGCTTATGGATCGAAGCGAGTTGAATAATGTTAACTTCGCTTTAATAAACCCCCACCCCCGCGACATAGATTTCGGCCCCAATCAGGGGGGGATTGACCATTGAGGGGGGTCCTCTTGGGGCGATGGTTTCGGAGCACGGTTGTCTCTCTCTCAAGCCTACTAAACCAAAACACCAACAAAACAAAAACATCTCTGAGCATAGGGTTCATTATTGAGTTCCTGCGGTTGAGTATTATAGTTGAGGGGGGTTTATAATTGAGTTCCGGAGATCGGGTTTTATAATTGAGGGGGGATTATAATTGCCAAGTTAACACGAATCGGAAACGAGGCAGGGCTAATTTCGCTGGCTCAGCAGCACAGAAACCCAATTGAAACATGCATAGGTACTTGGTAAACTGATAGCATTATCCATGCGGGTGGTTTCAGTAGTGTTTTAATCTCCGGTGACGATGATCAGGGAAGAAGATGGTAATGGCGAAGACATGATGCTGATGATGAGGATGATGGTGAGGATGCTGATGAGGATGAGGATGGGGATGAGGAGAAGGATGAGGAGGAGGATGATGATGAGGACGTGATGATGATGATGGTGATGGTGATGACGACAATGATGACGATGACGATGATGACGATCACGACGATGACAATGACAATGACAATGACGATAACGGTGATGGCTGGCACATGTACACATCTGGACCGATTCCACGACGGACCGACATCATCTGCTTCCGATCATCCTTGTAGCCTCGGACACAGCATCTGCAAATGTGTTTCCGAAGACCTGCGCTACTGTTGCAAGCGGGATTCTGTGCTACTCCAGCAGAGCTGTCGGATTCCAGCAGTTGACCTTCGTTGCTTCTCACGAAAGCACCATGTAATGTAGCAAAACCACGAAGCAAGTTCATGGACAGCTCACGCAGAGGAACACTGAAAGCACGATATAATCGGCATGCGCGTTATGGGTGTTTACCCGGCGTCCGAACTAAATACTGCAGTTGAAGAAACCACCGCTGTTGAAAGCGCAGTTGAAGGGAGAAAGCTTGAGGCAAGCGAAGTCACCATCATTCCGAACCAGGGCGGTTTGTTTAAGGTAGTGGATAGCGTGGCTTTGCGCCACAAGGTTTTATGTAGCATCATCATTCATTGTTCTCAGCATGGCATCTTTGTTTATTCCGTTGCTGTGCTGGGCTTCGGTGGCGGGCGGTGATGAGCTCGAGCAGTTCTGCGATACAGAGGTGTATCCTCCATGTGACGTCGGCTTCCCCGTAGGCCGAGACTCTCCGGGTCTTTGGACCACCAACGCATCGGGCCTTGCGATCAAGGCAGCTCGCCGCCCCAGTCGTCGATTCAAGGCTACGAGAGACGAAAACGCGACGAAGGAGCTCGGATCTCCTTTGACACGTCGCGTGCATAAAGAGTTCAGCCTCCCCGAAGCACTTCATGTCAAGGAGAAGACGGTGATCGCCTTGCATGCCGGGCATGATGGCTCCATCGCTATTGGTAAGGGTGGCCGAATCCAGTGTGTTTTGGAATTGGAAAGACTGTTTGAGGACAGATATTTCATTCCCAAAACTGATCATTTCCATTTCCATTGGCACAGGGCCCTTGAGACAGTATATGAGAGTTGCGAATGCGAGGACGGGTCATGCCCAACGAATTTTGATTTCGGCATCATGGTGAATTTCGGGGGAGATGTGTCGGTGCAGCATGCAGATCTGCCAAATATTGTAGAAAGATTTTTTCGTGTTCGCGAGTGGCGGAATGTGAACCACCATGAGGCGCATGCATTGATGGGATTCTTCTCCTCGCCGTTTCGCTCTGCCTTCATTCTGTCGTACGATGGCGGTGGCAACGATGGTGTTTTCAATGCCTTTCTGGGTAGAGGCTTTGAGCTGCATCGCATCGGTCGAAAACCGCTCAACTTGGGCGCAGGATATTACAAGCTCGCTAGCTTCTTGCACGAGGTCAACGGATATCCTGAAACAAGAAACCTGGTGTGTGAGAGGCTAGAGGAGGAGGACGGCGATTGGGTTGAGCTGGCGATGTTGTTTCCAATCCATGTTTTCGTCGCTTTTGCAGGCAAGCTGATGGGATACTCCGGCCTGGCGAACCCTTCACCGGAAATTGGACCCTGGATTCGCGAGTACTTCCATCGATGGGCAATAGGGGAAGACAGAGTGCCACGAGCCTTTCTGGTCAAGGTGTGTGAAGGCACGGAGAGTCAGCGCATTCTTGCGGCCACGATTCAGGCTGAGTTTGAGCGCGTGATGCACCCCATCATCCAAGAATACCTGCAAACTCTGCAGATGAAAGGCATTACTGTTGAAGGGATCGTGCTTACCGGAGGATGTGCACTCAATGTGGTTGCAAATCAACTAGTACGCGACACGCTGACAGAAGTCAAGGCATCACAACCGGTCTTAACGAGACCCAGGGATGTTTACGTGCCTCCGGCTCCGAACGACTCCGGATTGACCGTGGGAGCCATCTGGGCTGTTTCGCCACCAGTAGGCCCCCGTCAACCGCTGCAATATCTTGGCTTCCAGCTCTGGGATCTGGACGAGCTCGGAAAGGAAGCAGAGCAGAGAGGGGCTCAGAGATTGTCCGAGCTCGGTGGCGTCCAATACCTCGCCGAGCTCTTGGCCGGTGGCCCGGCCTGGGCGGCTCAGAAGCGCGGTGCAGGGCACGAGAAGCCGATCATTGCGGTGGTGCGCGGGAGACAGGAGTTCGGGCCCCGCGCTTTGGGACATCGATCTTTATTGGCGGTACCAGACTCCGAGTACATGCGCGATCGTATGAATCGTTTGAAAGCCCGGCAGTGGTATCGGCCGGTAGCCCCGATGATTGCAGAAGAGGCTTTGGAAGAAGTTTTTGGCTTCAAGTACACTTCGGCCTACATGGAGTTTGCCCCAGCGGTGCGTAGTGAGATCTGGAAGCGCTTCCCAGCAATTGCTCACGTTGATGGTACAGCTCGTCATCAGTCTGTCAGCCGTGCAGACGAACCTTGGGTACATGCTCTTCTGCTGGCCGTTGCTAAATTCACTGGTCTCGCTGCTCTTATAAACACAAGCTTTAACTCCAAAGGCAAGCCTATCGTCAATACCGTTGAGGCATCACTGAAAATGTTGGATGAGTTGCAAGATCTCGACTATGTTCTGATCGAGGACTGGCTGTTCCGGGCACCAGCTGTCAAGCGAGAAGAAGAGGTTCCAAAGAGGAAGCCCTTTTCTGTTCTTGCTCTCGGAGATGTGACAAAAGACAAAAATTGACATGTTCTTTCGGGATTCCCGGCTGCAGCTGCCGTCATGGGTCCTGTTCTTTTCTGGGATAAGGTGTTCCTCGCCTGTTCCGCACCATGCAACACCGAGACCTGCAGATTAGTTAGGGTTTGTTTTTCAATGGGGATGTTGCGAGGCTGCTGGACCTGCCGGAATTCAAAACACAACCGGGCAGGCCCGCTCTTGCTTTGAGACAGAAAGTCTAGCAGATCTAGCAATCCGAGAGGTTTTCGCTCATGTCAGTGCGCACATTCTGGCAGGATGTGGACTGCAACAGAAATTTGGTCCCTCCTCACAGCCAGCGGTGATGCCTTTGATGTCGTCTCTCCGGTGGCTTCAGGCACGGCACGGCACACAGAGGTCCGTCCGCTGTGGCCCGGTGACGCCAGCGCCAAACAGCCGGACAGCTGGAGCTTCGTGGAGACAAGGTGGCGAAATTTGAGGCAAATTTAAGATTTAAGGAGGTCTCATGTTGTGAGTCAGGGAAAATGCCATGTAAAGGAGGTACCACGTCCGCGTTGCGAGGAGCTTCGAAGGTCCTGCGGGGCACCGCAAGCTCTGGTCATTTCTGGAACGTGAGCTCCGCGTCGCTCTGGCCCAGCGCGCGGAGATGGCCAAGGCTGCTCTCGACCTTCCCCCGCCTCCTCCCGGATTGCTGGATTCGCTGAGAACCACTGTCGACGCCGAGATGGTCTCCCTGTCAAGTCAAGCACGTATTCGGGCTGGAACCGGTCAGAGCCTTGCAGACATGTGGAATCTGCGTTCTGGCACTGGGCTGCCACGGATGCCAGATGCCGTCGTCCATCCTCGCAGTGAGGACGACGTATGCGCTTTGCTAAAGGCTGCGCATGGTGACAATGGCTTCTTGGTCATCCCTGTGGCCGGGGGTACGAATGTAACATCGTCGACATCCTGCCCTTCTAGGGAGGAGGAGTCTCGACCGGTGGTGGCGGTGGATATGCTTGAAATGAAGCGCATGCTGTGGGTGAAGCCGGAGGATGGACTGGCATGCTTCGAGGCCGGCATCACCGGCCAAGCTCTGAAAGATGCTTTGTTGCGACGCCTGGCGCCCATGGGCCCGGAACTGCTAGAGGTACTCGTATCTCCAATCGTGTCTCAGGAATTTCTTTTTCCATTGCCAATTATCGTGTCAGGGTCTACCTCTTTTGGCCAAGCTGAGGAGAAGGCCTGACCATGGGCCTGGAACCTGCGTGCTGGGAGCGCTCAACACTGGGTGGCTGGGTGGCGAGTCGCGCCACGGGTCTCAAACAAGCCCGTTACGGAGCCCCGGCCGCAATCGATGTTGGGCCTGGGCGCAGCCTGCGATGTCTAGGGACCTTCCAGCAGTTTTTGGCTCGCTCTAGCTGCTTCACCGAGCATCAGCAGAGCAGAGCACAGTGATGTGACAGGTGACATCGAGGAGGTGCTGGTAGAGGTGCGATTGATCTCTTGTAATCCCAACGCACAGAATCGGAAGGGGAATCGCAGGACGTGATGTTTTTTTCAGACCAGGTTCCAGGTCTGTGCGGCGCCAGGCACAAATATGCTTCCTCTGATATCCTGTGCAGATTCGCGTCGCAACATCATCTGGGTTGCTTTGGCAACATGGTGGCCACTTGAAGTTCTCCAGCTGCATTTACCTCAGAGCAATAGCAAGCTTCACAATTTCGCTGCGCTTGAATAGTCCCTTGTGCTACTTGTAGTGATTCAAGATGGAGATGATGGAGCCAGGTACGAGCAGTCCGATCCCGCATGTCCGGCAAGAGGAGGAGCCTCTCCTTCGTGCCACGTGCAGCTCATCTTTGTAAGAAATGCTCAAGTCATTTGAGCAGAATGACCGATTTGCAGCATTCGAAGTCGGTCCTCGTAACAAACGCACCAGACATTGGCAACGACGAGCTTACAGTAACTGTGTGACATGGCATCGTGCAGATCGAAGACTGACAGGACATATCTCCAGCTGCGGTCGGAAATCCACCGGCGTGGAACTCCCAGGCAAGGAGCAGATCCAGCTGCCTTTGTAAATTCGTGGCCCGTGCGGGCAGCAGTCGTGGGCTGCGAGGGCTGCTACTGGGAAGTCAAGGATGTCTCGGAGTGATCACGGTGTCTTTGATGCACGTGTGCAAGTTGTGTTCGCACCAAGCGGAACTGGCCAAACCGTCAAGCCCAAGGCTGCTGTCATTCGGGTGCATGCTCTGCCAGAGCTGACACAGGGCGGAAGCCTTGCTTTCCCGAGCTGGGAGCAGGGAGTGCCTCGCCTCTCCACAACGGGAAGCCGACTCGGAGCGGTGGGATCACCTTGCAGATGCTCAGCTGAGGCACGTTTTGCTCGAGATGTTGCTCGCCTGCCCAAGGCACTTAGGCCTGCATCGTGCTGCCACTCGATTGCAAGGACTTTCATAGAGTGTCGAGTCTATCATGCATGCTTTTTGTTTCTTCCCCGGCCTGAGGGCTCGTTGATGCCAAGCAATTCGAAATGGCAGAGGCGCTGCACCATGGAGCCACTCAGCTCACAGACGGACGGGAAGTATTTTCGCAGCGACAGAGGAGCTGACGCAAGGCCTTAGCAGTCCCAGGAAGTAGGTTTCCGGAGTCTAGAGGCCAGCAGTCCGGTCCTGGATACTTCGTCGCAGATTGCGCACACCGAGGACTCAGTGGGCCGACACTACATGCAGCCCTTGCCGCCCTGCCCTCGAAGGGCTTCGAGTGGTCAAGGTGCACGGAAGCGCTCGCTTCGACCAGGAGCCAGCAGGTCTCCGCTGAGATCCTCCTCGAGGGCTCTCGCGAAGAAGTGGATACTTGGGTTTATATTTCGGCAATTGAGTCGATTGAAATAAAGTTGCTAAGAAGGAAAAGCATCGGGGCCGGAGAGAACAATGCGTATTAGTCTTGCGCGTGAACAAGCAAGGATGCCCAGAAGTGCATGCTGCAGCGCGGTTGCACTATTTACTCCTACCTTGAAGAAGGCATGATTACCGTCGAGCGGTAAACAGGGCATTATCGCTATCTTACATCTGAGGCATCAGCTTGCAGCGACCCATGTTGGCACGTGGGGTGCAGCAGGACCGGTGGAAGCAGGCATAGAAGTCCGGCTCACATTGCGCATGCTGGATCAGCAGGCAAGCTCCTGCACCAGCTGTCGTTGACCCTGCCGCACGTTCGTCAACTTGGCCATCCGACTTAGACGTGCAGAATCACGATGTACATACTTTTCACGTGCAGGTGTCGACGTGTCGGCAGCTTTCGTGATACCCCAGGCATCGGCTATGACGTCTTCATGGACAGCATTGAGATCCTGATTCCGTGGGCATCCCTGGAAGCCACCATTTCAGCTGTGTCGGAGGCACGGTTGAGCAGGGCTTGAGATGACACCATCTCCCACCACAAGAGGCACATGAGTGCGGTGGCGTGTGTTGTGGCGCAATCCACTTTTGAAGGTTGCATGCTCTGGGCACCGTGACCTCGATCTTCCAGGAACTCCATACATCTCTTTCGGCCTGGGCCTGAATTTGATGCTCCCAAGAACACACCTGTTGGCCGTGCGCCTCGAGGCCTGGGGCAGCTCCTTCCCGAAAGGGCAGTCCTGACTGTTCATCTTGCCACCTGTGTGGCAGGCGCGTCCTGTGAAATGGTCTTTTTAGCTAGCATATCAGGTCAGCAGATGCTTCTACAATTTGGATGTTGATGTTTTTGGCAAGGCCTTGACCCCAGCAGCGCTCTTCCGGCCTTCAGCCGCTGGAGACATTCGGTGGAAGCTGCCGTGCCTTGGTCAGAAGCAGCTTGGAGACAGGCATGCGGTGTAAACGATAATGCCCGAAGACAGCTCAGGGCACGAAGCATCACCCCAACCCCGACCACTGCAGGTTGTGTGCGAGGGCGATGAAGTATTTGGTCAGAGAGGCCATCCACCAGGAGGCTGCGTGGCCGCTTTGAGAAGCTTGAAGGCAGCCATAGATCCTGAAGGGATCTTTCCAGCGCTTCGACACGGCCAATCGTATTGATTGCCGTGAACAAACGAAGAGACTTGAAGACTTCTAGGTCTATGTACAAAAGCGTGGGCCATGGCAGTGGTGAGTGAGGCTACGTACTCCTATCACACCTCATGTACCAAGCTCGCTTGGGCTGCACAGATCCTTCGCCACTTCCATGCTTTGCAATGACCAGTCCCTTCGATTGCCATTCGGAGCAGAAATCAGGAAGTGACGCAACCCGTGCCTCGAGCAGTCGCAGCGACCTCCTGATTCATGCTTGTTGCATGTGAACGCTCACCCACGCAATCTGGATGACCGATTCGCAGAACCGGTATAGGATACGACTCAAAGCAATAGACTTGACGTCCTGACAGCTCTCTGTTGTGGGGCCTTATGCTTGGGATCGTCATGCGATGAAGACATGGAGGAGAAGGCAAATACGGCGGATGGAGAGGGTAGTCTTTTGAGCAGAGAAGAGGCAAGAAGGAGCGTTGAGCGCCTGCTCAATGGTGTGTTTCATGCATGCATGGACTGCGGGATGCTTGCTGACAGGCAGGTCGCTTGTTGGAAGCTGGCTGTGCCTTTCCACTTCGCGAATGTCCTCGTCATTGGCAGGATGGAATGCCGGATGCGCATCTGGCCTAGAATCTGGCCAAAGTGAAGCCAGGCTTTGCTCCCAGACGTTCAAGGGAAGTGCTGCTCTGCTCGTTGCCGCCCCCCTTCCCGCCACAGGTTTGTCGTTATTGCCGCCGATGGCTCCCTCCAACATGAGAGCGGCAGTGCCTTGGAAAGACCAGTGCGAAAGACTTTGGCTAGGGAAGGGCAAAGACTTGAAGATGCCTCAAACGCCGAGGTCAGCCCCTTTACAGCGGCTCCGAAGGACGGGTGGTTCGGATTTCCGTCATCCAGGTTTGAATGTGCTGCAGTGCAGAAGCAGCTAGAGGATGCATGATGATGCATGTATCCGGAAGGCAACGATTTTGGACATGGGGTGCTGAAAGCTAACATCCTCAGGCTCGGCAATGTCGGCGGCAATGGTGGACGTGAAGGTTGGGTGTCAACATGTTTGTCACGGAGCAAGCAAGAGCAGTGTAAGGCAGTGTAAGGCAGACTCAGGTGGGCAGCACCGCAAGTGCACAGAAGCTCAGCTCCCTTGGTGCCTCGGCCCGGACTAGAATCAACATGCCCTTCGTTGCCATGTTCTGCACCAGCTCCGGTCATTGAGGTCAAGTGCTCTTGCCAGCATCTTACCAACAGAAGCAACCAGCGATGCATTGATCGATTTCCCGCACAGCCTGGACAGAAAGCCTAGGTTGGCGGCTGCCTTGGCCCTGGTCAAGTGCACCGTGCGCCTGTCTTCCGAACGCTCAGCGGAGACAAAGACTGCCGAAACTCATCGACTATGATCGACTCAGTTAGCTGCCGAAACACCAGAGCACACATGCCGTCATGAGATCAGAATTCGATTTTGCGGCTCGAGCACTTGCACCTCGTGCAGCATGCTTGAGCCGGCGAGCGACGTGAAAGGTGAAGATGACTTGACTTCGGAAGGCCTTCACGGCATTTGATTTCATCGCTGTCGTGATCCGACAGCTGTAATTGGTTTCACAAGGCCAGGAGGCATCCCTCCTGAAGAGGGTGGGCCTTTCGGAGCTGCGCTGAGCACTGCGCAGAGCCACTGCCACAGCTGATGTCAGCCTCGTCCTTTGTCAGGTCTTGCACAGCAACACCAGCTTCTGGCAACGAAGCCGAGAGGAGACCGCCAGCTCGGCATATCTCGGGGCTCTCTGCTGGCGCACGCTTGGAGGAGGCTTCAGAAGCAGAGCATTCTTTGGAGGCTGGGGACAGGTACAGCCGGGAGCCGCTGCGTAGTTTCGTGCTTGCCGCAGGCGCTACGACGGGAGGCCCAGCTGCGCCAGGCGCGCTGCCAAAGCCAGCATGAGGCTGAGCCGAAGATGCCGATCAAGTTCCCGTGCTCTCTCCGCTCCCGCACTGTAGCGTAATGAAGCATCTCTTGGGATGAGATGAGCGAAGCCGACCGCCCAGGCTGGAGAGCTTGGCCCGTGACGCGAAGGAGGAGCAGGAGCGAGAAAGAGAGTTTGGAGCTTCTCCGTTTCTCCGAATGGAACGAATCTTGTGTTTGACTGGAACTGTGTGGAAGCGTCCAAAAAGTCAATTGCGATGCTTGCATCCACTCTCTGTTCAAATGGTTTCATTGTGGAGGAGCGGCGGTTGATCTCAGAGAAGGTCGGCCTGAAGCTCAGCAATTTGGGTTGGGTGCTCTTGGACATAAGGAGCTGAAGCTAGATGAAGCTCTTCAGTACTTGCTGATACTGATGCTGTATGTAAGCGTTTGATAGCGTTTAGAAGTCTAGCAGACTACACACCATCACGTTACTGAAGCGATCATCAAAGATGCCTCGAAGCATCGTCGGAGCGCTCTGTCGATGTTCGTACGCTCGCGGCCAAAAATCGGGACAAAGAAGATCGTTAGACATGCAGATACGCGCATAGACCCGCAGAGGCTCCTAAACTCCACAGAGTCTTCGCTGTTAGTGAAACTCGGCTCGTCAGGTCAGGAGCTCGCTGCCATTCGTGAGGAGATGCGCCGCCGCTGAGCTGCAGGTAGAGAGAGGCCGGGTCTTCTCAACGGTAGAAGGGACAGCGCTTGGACCGCTGAGGAAAGGAGGCCGTGGAGGAGGAGCGGCTCCGTGCCTTGGCCAATCTTCGGGGCCGCGGGCATCGCGCATCCTCTGCCTTTTTCGATCTCTTTCTGGATCTGAGGTCACTTGTACCGCGGCATCCTGGGCCCGAAAGGCCCGGCCTCGGAGTCCGGAGGATCCACTTTCCTCCCACCACAGCGCCTTGGCAGTGCCATCCTTTCCGCTTTGGTCGTTGAACTGCGGTGAGAACCCGTTGCCCGACGAGGCAGAAAGGCCAATCCTCGCCGGCTTTCACACCCTTGATAGTATCGGAGACTCGACACGCATTGGTGTCCAGAAAAGTATCCATATGTCACAGCCAATCATGTTCATGCTATAGTGAGATGTGCCTACAGCATGTCACTTCGATTTGAAGCGCCTGACGTTGGATGATGGCAATCCTGAGAATTTCACTGGATATCAATCTCCAATACCAAATCTTATCAACACCCAGGGATATTCCGTTCCTGGTCAGCCAAGGAGGCCTCGCTCCTCGACTCGGAACCGACATGGGACGTCGGAGCTGTGCCGCTGAAAGGCCAAACCCAAACCTGCTTTAAGCGCAGGTTCGGTGTGTCGAATGCAGTAAGTTTCTCGGTTTTTGCGGAATTGTTGGGGAGCCGAGCATGCAATCTTCTCAGTCATGTGCCCGCTTTGGAGGTGATCTGGATCTCCTCTCTGGGAAGGCACCCGGCAATCCAAACCTGGCCTTCGGATTTATGATTGATGTACTATGCTTCTCGTGACAGAGGACTTTTGGCCTTCGGCTCCGGCGGCTCCGGCTCCGGCAAGCACGGAGCTCAGAGTCGCCCGATGCCCGATTCTTTGAAGCTTCGCAGCCTTGAGGCACGCGTGATCGGCACGGGGGCAAAGCCTCAGGTGCCTCGTCTAAGTTTCGGCTGGCGGGGTCGTGCGATAGATCCTCTGATCCCGCAGAGGGTCTCAGCATGCGAGCTTAGCTGCATGAAGGTTCCCTCGCAAACGCATGTCCACCAGGCCGAAGCAAAGACATGCGAGACGCAACCAAACTGCTACAAGTGTCTTGGAGATAATTAAGCCGCAATTGCCTGGCAACGCAAGGCACTTGCAGTCATTGGAATCCGCTTTCCAGTCGCTGAGTGACATTGCAAAGGTCAACTTGGCACGGCTGGAACGTTTGGAACGCTGTGGCCTCTGAGTGCTCTGATGCCCCAGAGCCGTTTTAAATCGGACCTCCCCAAGTGGCGCTAACCAGTCTGCCTCTGCACGGGAAAGGGAATTTGGTTGGAGCGAGACGCCATCTGCAGCGTTGCGCTGCACCAGGAGTGACAAACGTCACCGTGCGACCGGGTAGAGTGCTAAGCCAATTCCAAGACAAAAGCCCTTGTCTGCAACCCCCTTTGCACGGTACTCTGGTGTGAGAATGCGGAAGTGCAGCTGCTTTTTTCAGCTACACTGGTAGTCTGACATGTTTCACTCACCACGGTTCGACATCGTGCACTTGCCGGACAAATGCTGGGTCTTGGCACTCATTCAGCATGCTAAGTTACCATGCCGAGAGGCCCCTCAGTAGCATGGAGTTGTTTGCTTGGACCATTTGGCTCGGAAGCGTAGCAGGGAAGCATGGAACCTTGGTGGAAGTGGGTTTCATGAGCTGTGCACAGCTCTCTCTGACCCTTTAGGGAAGAGTTTTGGCTGCACCTACGCCGAGCCTTCAGAGAGTAGAGACTGTGGAGACCACCGTCGCATCAAAGCTTCCGAGGAGAGAAGCCGAGGAGGCGGAGAAGATTGTGCTCGGCTTGTCGCGAGCACGATGTGTGTAGAACCTTCAGTCGGGAGTCAGGTGCCAGCCGGCCACGGAGAAGGGGACGAAGTCAGATGCGCCGTCGGCCAACAAGTTTGGCTCCCATCCGTACACCCATCCAGGATGTCCCTCATCTTCACAATCTGTGCCCAGGGCAGGTTCCATGAACAAGTACGATGTGTTGGGCGTCGTGGGCGAAGGGGCCTACGGCGTGGTGTTGAAGTGCAAGAACAAGGACTGGCTGCTTCGGAGTTCCGTTGGAGAAGCTTGGACATCTGTGGCAAGGGGCGGAGCGGGTGACTGGGACTGAGAACGCTTTCGTTGGTGTCCTAGTAGCACGTAGTAGCAGTAGCAACCTGGATGCCGAACAGAACCATAGATAACAGCCACGATCAAGGACGAAGCAATCACCGTTGGTTGCTGTGCTTGCCTGTTGATCGAAAGTTGCAGGACACCAACGAAGTGGTGGCCATCAAGAAGTCTGCACCGCAGACTTGACGAGGGGCCGGTCAGAGTTCGGCGTGAGTCGAACCACAGCCCTGTTCCATCTGAGGTTCAAGGAAAGTGAAGAGGACGAGGTAGTTAGAAAAACCACGCTGAGAGAGGCCTTTGCTGTGGTGCCGGTAAGTAGCATCGTGCATGGCAACGCGCTTGCGAACTCCAGGTTCTTGTCCTAGGATCGCATTGTTGAAATCTTGCAAACGGACGGCCGAAAACATGGGGGTCGAGACGGTGAGGGTTTCTTTCGCTGTGGTCCTGCTCTGCAGGTGAAGATCCTTCGTATAATGCGGCACGAAAACATTGTGCAGCTGAAGGAGGCAAAGAACACAAGGGCAGCGGAGTGGGAGACTTTCGAGCATCCGGGGCTGCTCCGAGCAGAAGCATCAACTACCTCAAGCGGAGCTGGAAAGCTTGCGAGTATGTGCAACATGCTACTGGAAGGAACCCGCATGTGTCGTGCCACTGCACCAACTTCACTTGCTGTGCAGCTTCGTTACTGCACTGCCTATGGCTGCCGTGTGCTGTAAAGTAGAATCAGAATGTGGCAGGCCTTTCGACGCAGGGGGAAGCTCTACCTCGTCTTCGAATTCGTGGAGAAAAGCATGCTCGACATTTTAGAGGCTGGTTTGATTTACATGAAGTATATAGAGCAGCTGCTGAATGACAAGATTTCTTTGGAGCACGGATTCGTGTGTGTCTGCGTGAGATTCTAAGCTAATGGTTCGTGGTACTGGACATTGGCTTCAGCAGGGGGGGGGGGGGGCGTTCCACCTGTTACCATTGAATGGGCAACGGAGAGCCTGGTAAAATGGCGCTGAAAATCTACCTGCTGTTGAGTGGGAGAGTGTACTATACCAATGTACTCGTACGTCAATGAGATACTTCCACATTCTCTGCGTGTGATGTGTGAGTGCATGAAGAGATGAGTATGTGTATGCAACAGCGCAATAGCAACTTGTAGGTACAGGTGGAACGGTGGAATGAACAACCTTTACACACCTACAAGTGTATAGACCCACCCTGGACAAACTTGTTTGACACGTATGTACGATTCTGTCTGTCTGTCTGGCTGTCTTCCTGCCTGCCTGCCTGCCTGCCTGCCTGCCTGCCGGTCTGCCGGTCTGCCGGTCTGTCTGTCAGTCTGTTCTGTATGTATGTATGTATGTATGTATGTATGTATGTATGTATGTATGTATGTATGTATGTATGTATAAGGCTCTCGGCTCGGTCCTTGAAGAGTTAGCTTTCCCCCCTGTGTGCTATGGTCTCTACTGCATACTTTCTGACGTG